AGACAGACAGAGAGAGACATAGAGATAGAAAGCGAGAAATCACCCCCCGGGGGGATGGTCACGCCGCAATCCCTTCTCCTCCATTCTCCTCTCAGGACCTTGGGCACGCACGCACACGCGCCCGGCGTGAGTTTTAAGCCACCGGGTCCGGGACACGAACCGCGGTCGACTACGTGGGAGTCCAGCGACATAGCCATTACGCTAACTGTTGGTTCCCTTGCATGCATTTTTTAAAGGTTATTTCTTTCATGAGAGAGAAAAACAGGTACCTCCAACAGGGTCTTCATGCCAGCCTTAGCCAGACTGCATCACCAGCACATGCACATACAACTAGCATGTACAAGGAGGCCTTGGGACACAAACCCTGGACCTTCCTATGTGGTCCAGCACTGCAGAACACTTGCATTACTACTAAGCCACCAACTGGCCCTTGTATTTTCAATTTATGCTATTTTTTACTTGTGATAGGTTTATTTGGATGTAACCCTGTTTTAGTCGAGGAACATTTGTACTGACTTTGCTCTGCTAGTTTTAGCTTCAATGCCACTTCCTCTAGGAAGTCTTCTCCAGCCCCTTAGATGAGGTTACATTTCCCCTACTCTAAATTTAGATGGCACCCTCATTTCCTCATTTCCCCTATCATATAAGGCTCATCATGGTTTGGGTTTTTTTTTTTTTTTTCTTTTCCCTTGCTTCAGGAGCTTATTGCACAGGGCCAGAGATAGGGCAGGGCCACAGAGGTCTCTGTAGGGAGTGGGCTGGCATCAAGACAGCAGAGCACAGAGGACCAGAACATGGCTGGTCACCTACTCTTGTTCCTTCACACATTTGTCAGTTTGGGGCAGGAAGACAATGGAATCCTCTGTGAAGTCCTGGGCCTTGCAAAAGGTGCTGAATTTCTCTTGTAACTCTGTTCTCAACAGGCCAGTGTTGGCTGTAGAGGGCTGCTGTGCAGAACTCCTGACCCAGCCCCTTGGAACCCTGGGTGAACAGCAGAGCATACTCCTCGTAGTCGGTCTCTACCAGGGACAACATGTAGGTGCTGCCCCAGTGGGAGCTCCTTTAGCTGTAAGAGTGGGGGTGGGGAGGTGACCCCACACCCCGCAGCAGCATGATCCAAGTCTCACACTGGTTCTTCCTGAGGAAGGGGAAATGAGGTTGAGGTCGCTGTGCTTAGTCGGGACTACCATGGTCTTGCACATGGACAGCCTTCTTCTCCAGGAACCAGTTCGCATTGGATACAAGACCCATGCTGAACCAGTACCCTGGGAACTGCAGGAGGAGTCCGGCAGTTGCCTGGGACCCTTGGACCCTATGAGGCTGAGCCAGTAGGCACCCTGCCCCTCCTGCTCCCTGGCTCATCATGTTTTATCATGACAGCAGGGTCACGTCAGCCTGTCTGGCCATGCTCCATCCTTAGTGAGCACAGGATGACCATGTCTACCTTGGTCACTGCCCTTAGAAAACATCAGCTGTATGAGTAGACATGCCATCAACTTCTGACAGCTATTCCACCCACGCATCTCTTGCCCCAGTTGACTAAAACCAACTGATGGCTTTTCTTGATAAGTGGAAATGGCTTAATTTCAAAGAAGTGAAAGACCAAAGCATGCAGGGGTTGACCAGTGAAAAATGAGAAGTTAGCATTGACACATTTTCTTCCAAAGTTTGATATTTTTAGAGAAAATATCTAAATACGGAAGTGGTACAACCCAGTGTTCATTGTGACACAATTACACATTTATTAATAAACTTTGGACGTCTCAAAAAAGATCCAAAGGTACTTTCCTGCTATCAAGAACACACAGAATATAACAGAGCTTGGATTATAGGAGCAGATTAAGGATAAACTACTCTATTGCTTAACAGAATTCCAAAAATGTTCTTCCAGCTATGAGAATCTGGTCTTTGTAACTTGTTAGGAGGGGAAGTTTCAGAAATCTTGCAAAACTAACAAAACTCTCCCCAAAAGAATTAGGGCTACCAAGGGCACATAAAAATGTGAGGAAATAGCTCTTGTCTCCTCTCTTAGCGGAAATTACATGTGCATAATAAACTCTGTGTGTCAAAGGAATTTCACTTCAAAAATTGTAAATGACCCACCCACTTAAGCACAGGCAATAGTGTGCTGATCTGCAGAGCGGGAAGACCGACCACAGATTTGGATCCCACGTTCACCTGAAACATACCTGGTAGCAGTGACATGAAATTGTAACTAGCTGCCCAGCTGGGGAAGGGAGATCACAATGTGATAAGATCCTGTCTGGGGCCAGCAGGTGGCATGGTGGTTAAGGGCACTGGACTCCCACATAGCAGATCGCAGTTTGAGTCTCATACCTGGCAGCTTCCTTTCTCACCTTCTCTCTCTCCCCTGCCCCCCTCCCCGGTCAAATTTAAATAAATAAATAAATAAATAAATGAAGTTCAATAAAATAATTCTTTTTTTTTTTAAGACGTTTTTGCTATAGGGCACGTGTGCTCGCCAGACAGACAGAGAGAGACAGAAAGCGAGAAGTCACCCCCCAGGGGGGATGGCCACACCGTGATCCTTTCTCCTCCGTTCTCCTCTCGGGATCTTGGGCACGCACGCACGCGCGCCTGGCGTGAGTTTTAAGCCACTGGGTCCAGGACACAAACTGCGGTCGACTACGTGGGAGTCCAGCCACATAGCCATTACACTAACTGCTGGTTCCAATAATTCTTTAAAAAAAAAAAAAAAAGACCCTTTTGAAGGTGATTGCATTTTTCTCTCTCAAGAAATTAAACAAATAAACATAAAGAAATGAACATTTTAAAATTCTAATTTAAATCCCTAAGAGAGGTGAGCAGGCCTAAACTATCAGTTGAAAGGGTCTGACCATCCAATTAGTATCGTATACACACTACTTCTGCAAAGGCTTTAGGCCTGATGCACTTCTCAAAACTCACATATGAAGTTTGAGAGAGTGTGAAAGTGCTTGGTGTGGTGGTCTTCCAGTGTCAGTTCCTGCCCTTCTCTGCTGGCAAGAGATGCAGCGGGAGTACAGGTGATGAAATGGGGAGAGGCAGCTAAGGGCATGCTAAGGGCAGCTCATGAATGATGGCAGATGTAAGGCAAGCAGGCTCTTAATTGCTGCCCCACCTCAGCTGCCAGTGGTCACCAGGGAAGCTGGACCTACACACCCTCTTAGAACCACTGGCAGAAGTGCTGAGATTGAGGTAAGAAATCAGCCTTATCAGCTGACTGTTTATAAAATACACACATGGTAGACAACAACCTCAGGGGACAGTGAAGGGCCCGATGAGGAAAGATTTTGAAAGGAGTCTCCAGGAAGGGTGAAAAGGTCACCAGAAGTTCATGCAGAGTTCTCTCATGAAACCTGGGTAGAAATTTGTAGACAGGAAAGAGTTTGTCCCGACATGAGGCCATGTCAGAGACCAGCCACAGAAAGGAATTCCAACAGAGCCCTTTCTGGCTACAGCGTCAACCTGAATCGACATGTCGTTCAGGAACAAAATACAAGTGAATCTCTAAGTAGTGACTGGTCTGGCCTAAATAACACTTTATTATAAAGCAGGACTTCTTTTCTTGCTCCTCATGACTTCCCAAACGTTTACCAGACTTACTAATTCTTGTTCATTCCATCTCCTTCCATGTAGTCGGTCAGAATAAATCCCAAGTAGCTAGCCGACTGCCTGGTAGTTATGGGAGCTGGAGCCCACATGACCAACTGCATAGTTTGAGTCCTGGCCCCAGTGGATTGAAAAACACAACAGGCACATGTATGTGCATGCCTAAAATCCCAAAAGGAGGGAGAGATGAAGGAGAAAGAACTGCTATGTGACCATTCCCTATGGGGGTGCTGTCTCACTCTCTCTCTTCCTTTCTTTTTGTCTCTCTCTGGCAAGTTCGTGCACCCTCTGGGGAGAAAAAAGACTAAATTCCACCAATAACGAAAAGCGTATACATGTCTGCTTTGAAAACAAAAAGGACTTGATGTTCCCAGAGCCTGTTTCCACATTTGTAAAATATGATGGTTGAAGGCCAGCAGGTGGCATGGTGATTAAGGCACTGGACTCCCTCCCACATGGCTGACTGCAGTTCAAGTCCTGGACCTGGGAGGGTTGCTTTCTCTCTCTTTCTCTGAGTGCAGGTACCCTATAGCAAAATTTAAAAAATAATATTAATAAATAAAATTAAATGAATAATTCCTTTAAATACATATGTAAAATAATTATTAATTTAATTTTATTTACATATACATATATACATATATACACACACACAGCCTTGTCCAGGAAGAGGAATGTGGTCTGGAAGTCCACCAGCTGGGATGTTGTAAGCTCTGCTGAAGTCAGAGGAATCCCCTTTCCCAGCCATAGTTTGAATAGTAGCAGCAGACATGAAAAAAAGAAAAAATTAAAGCTGTTCCTCAAATCCTACATGAACTTTAAAAAGGAAAATTGGCCTGGGATGCAGAAATGGGTACAGAGGCATAACCATCTAGATTGTGATCCCATGTGGTAACTCCAATAATTTCTTAGGTTAGAAGAACAAGGTTGCATAAGGAGCTAAGCTGAGGAGTTTAATGAGTAGACAAGCCTGAGGTGTTCTGTAAGAGGAAAAGAGACATCTTAACTCAAGTGCAAATCCAACCTTTTTCCGCTGTAGCTTTTGCTTTTCCCTGAATTCTTCCATCTTTCTGGCCTCTTCTCGTAGAGTCTGTGCAAGCTGAATGTGACATTGTGCCACATTGTCTACTTCTGCAAAAAGAATTTTAAATAAAAGCAATAATCAAGGTCTACATACATCTGAACTGAAATATGCAGGATTGCAATACACCCACACACACACACACACACACACACACAATACTGAAGCAAGTTGTAAAATCACCATTGCTTTATTTGGACTCCAACACTTATTAAGTCCCTCCATGTGTCCAGCAATGCTCTGGCCACAAAGACCAAGAATAGAATATCTTTAGCTTAGCTTCCTACCACTATCTAGTGCTAACTAATGTATGGCCAGGATTGGCAGAAAAACACAAACGAGGACCCCACTCAGGAAGTTTACATCCTAGGAGACATTACTAAAGCCACTACAATTTTAAATTTGAATTCTCATTCTCTTTAGATAACTTCTAAGGGTCTTTCCACCTTTTGTCTCTCATAACCCTAAACATTTATAAGAAAGGTCATACATCATAATGTTGGCCACCATAGTTAACTCTGGGTGAAAAGTTTATTGGTGACTTCCCCCTCACTTTCTTTTCTTTTTTTTCCCCTAAGGATTATTTTATTTAACTTTTATTTATTTAAATTTGACCAGAGGGGGACAAAGTGAAAGAGAGGGAAAGTGAGAAAGCAAGCCACCAGGTTTGGGGCTCAAATCATGGTTGCCATGTGGGAGTTCAGCGCCGTTAACAACCAGGCCACCTGCCAGCCCCACTCTCTCATTTTCTATTGGGGGCGGGGGGTTGAGAGGTTTTTGCTATAGGGCGCATGCACTCACCAGAAAGACAGAAAGAGACAGAGAGACAGAGAGCAAGAAATCACTCCCCAGGGGAGATAGCCACACCACAATCCCTTCTCCATTCTCCTCTCAGGATCTTAGGCAGGCATGCACATGCACCCGGCGTGAGTTTAAGCCACCAGGTCTGGGACTCGAACCATGGTGGACTACATGGGAGTTCAGCAACATAGCCATTACGCCAACTGCTGGTCCCCCGACCCCCTCATTTTCTAAGATATTAAAAATGAGCATAGCTTTCCTTTATGATAGAAAAAAATAAACTTTTAATTTTACTTGCTCTAAGAAAATGACCTAAGAAAACAGTTAAACTTTTGTGTATCAAAATAACCTTGAGGGCTGGCCTGCAGTACTATGGTTAAAGGAGGTCAGATCCCACATGGCTGACCACAGTTCAAATCCTGGCCCTTGCAATTTGAAAAACACACCAGTCGGGACCAGCAGTTAGCATAATGGCTATGTAACTTAATTCCCATGTAGCCAACCGTGGTTCGAATCCCAGACCCGGTGGGTCAAACTCACACTGGGCACGTGTGCGTGCGTGACCAAGATCCCGAGGGGAGAATGGAGGAGAAGGGATTGCAGTGTTGCCATTCCCCCTGGGGGGGTGATTTCTCGCTTTCTATCTCTCTGTCTCTCTCTGTCTTTCTGGCGAGCGCACACACCCTACAGAACAAAATAAAACAAAACAAAACAAAACACCAGTCCTGTGTGCACACATGGCCAAAATCCTGATAGAAAGGAGAAATGGAGAAAAAAAGGGTTGTGGAGTGATCACATCCCATTGGGGGTACTTTCTTTCTCTTTCTCCCTTTCTCTTCATGGTGATCCCATGCACCCTCGCCACCCCAGCAATTAAAAAATCAAAAATAACCTCGAAGAAGGTTAAAAGATTCTTGACAAACTGGAAAAATAATTTCACAAATCAAAAGAAAAATAAAAGGGGTCAGACAGTGAAGTAGAGGAGTCAGAATCCACATGGGAAGGTTCCAGGTTCATGTCCAAAGACTTCCCTTAGTATGCCAGGTACACATCCACAGTAGGGGAATGGCTGAGGCTGGGGCAGATTGTGGTATTGGGACCCCGTTTGGGATGCTATATCTCTGTCTCACTCTTTGTCTCTCTTGCTTATGGAAGAAATAACTACAATTATTTTTAAAAGAAAAAAACATATAATCTAATATTTTAAAATCACTTAAAGAGGGTCATCAGGTGGCATAGTGGTTAAGATGCTGAACTTCCGCATGTCCAACTGCAATTCAAGTCCTAGACCTGATGGCTTGCTTTCTCACTTTCATTTTCTCTCTCTCTCTCTCTCTCTCTCTCTCTCTCTCTCTCTCTCTGTCTCATGCGCACACATGCCCTATAACAAATTTAAAAATAAGCATCATGCTATTTTTTCTCCATTTGCTATAGGTCATATGTATTCACCGGAAACAGAAGCGTAGAGAGGGTTTGAAAAATCACCTCCCAGGGCGGATAACCACACCACAATCCCTTCTCCTCTATTCTCCTCTTGGGATTTTGGGCCCACACCCACCTGGTGCATTTTTCTAGCTGCCAGTTCAGTACTTGAACCACACGATCAGCAACGTGTGATCCAGCCGCCTTAACCACCATGCCACCTGACTGGCCCAGTATTAAAATACTTATCTTGGAGGCACCAAGTATTCTGAAGCACAGAATGCCATTGGGGCAGTTTCTGAGTAACAGGCCTAGGGAACATTAGAACTTGGCAGGACCCCTTGAAGACCAAAGTACAAGGGCCTCAGCCTGGATTTATCAACTCCTGGTTGTCATCACACCAGAAAAATTGAAATTAGAATCTCTGGCTGAATTCTAGAGATACATTTATAGCCAAAGGCCACAATCCAGAAATAGGAACTGAAAAATATTAAGAAAGTAAGCTGACATTTGATATAAAGTACGCAAATATGAAAGATTTAATGCCAAGCAAAGCAAGCCAGTACTGTGAAAGAAAGGCATTATATGCCCCCGCTTAATATAGACCAAATGTCTGCACTCTACAGCAGAAACTGAAAGATTACAAGGTATGATAGCAAGGTGGCCAAGATAGATACTAGAGACAGTATAGAAGGAGGTGGGTAAAAGGGGTGGGTATAATAGGGCATGGGAGGGAGGGGATCAGAGGAAAAACAACAAAACATTTAATAGACGCAAAAATGAAAAGTTATCTATTGATGATATGCATATGGTAATGTCTTTGACTTGATTAACATGCACTGTATTCAGGCTGGGAAAAACCATGTTGTACATTGTAAAGATGTATAGTGATTAAATGTAAATGAAAAGAAAGTATGCCAAGGGAACCATGATGTGTCTTCCATTTGACCTCCCATTTGCTCTCACTAGAGAGAAACATAGAGAGAGTGTGAGAAAGCATCTCCCCCCCCCATATGGGTTAGTCATGCTGCAGTTCCTTCTCCTCCAATTCTCCTTTCAAGATTCTATGCATGCCTGCACACACACACAGCATGTTTTTCAAGCCACCAGCCCAGCCTTGAACTACACAGTCAGCTGAGTGGGATCTAGCCACCTTAACCACATGCCACCAGCTGGCCCGTAAGGTGCCTTTGAAACATCTGAGAAGAAATATTAAATAGACAGCAGTGTGTAAGTCCTAGTGCTTAGAAAGTTCTGAACTGAAGACATATATCTGTATATCCTCTATGTAAGGATGGTAGAGTTGGCAAGGTAAGTTTACCTAGGCCAACTGAGAAAAGAAGGGCTAGGAACAAGCTCTGAGGATTTACAACATTGAAGAGCTGAATCAAGACGGACAGAAAAATGGATAGCAGAGTAGTCAGAGAAGCAGGAAGAATTCAAGGGAATCAGAAGGGATGAGAGTTTCAAGAAGAAAGGAAAGCTCAACAGTGTTGATTGCTATGAAAGCTCAAGTAAGGAGAGGGCTGAAATTGTCTACTTGATTTAGTGATTTGGAGAAGTGGCTCCAGGTGACTGATACAGCCTCAAGCCAGGTTAGAATAGGAGCTGAGAAAATGGAGACAATATTTTTTCTGATGCTTGTTGTAATTAAAATTTCTCCTGGATAAAAATGTCTGGTGCAGGCCTACAGGTGGTGCTGAGGTTATGGCCAACTGAACGGTTAAAGTTCGGATCTGACTGCCAGGCACGTGTGTGTGCTGGTCCAAAATCCTGAGAGGAGAATGCAGGAGGGATTGCTGTGACCTTCTCCCGGGGAGGTGATTTCTCATTTTTCCTCTCCTATCTCTCTCTGAGTGTCTCTCTCTGGCAAGTGTGCATGCCCTATAGCAAACTTAAAAAAAAAAAAAAAAAGAAAGAAAGAAAGAAAAAAAAGTCTGGTGATCTGTGAGAAATAGCAAAACACTCACAGCACTGTCCATCCATGTCTAAGGCCCTGTAAAGGTGACCCTTGGGGAGGAAACCAGAGCAAGCATAAGAACATACAAGTGGTAGGGCCAGGCGGTGGCACAGTGGTGATTCAACTGGACTCACATGGGACAGGTCCCAGATTTATAGCCTGGGACCTCCCTGTGCACACTGAACACACATGTGCATGCCCATGATCTGGGCCAGCTGAGGCCAGGGGTGGATTGTGGCATGGGGACCTTGTTGGGAGTGTCTGTCCTTCTCTCCTTCTCTGTTTCTTTCTGTCACAGAAGAAATAAATAAACTTTTTATTAAAAGAACAGGGGCTAGCAGGTGGTGTGGTAGTTAGGGTGCTGGACCCCCTCATGGTTGGATCTGGTAGCTTGCTTTCTCACTTTCTCTCTCTTTCTGTCTCTCTCTGGTGAGTGAACATGCCCTATAGCAAATTTTAAAAATAATAAAATTAATAAATAATTCTTTAAAAAAATAAAATACAAGGGTTAGGCCTGAGATAAGTGTGGCTAAGGCGGGTGGGGATATGGATGAGCAGTCGGGTGACTCTGTCTCTGAGTTAGAAACAAGCAGTACCAGCAATCCTCAGAGGCAGTTAGTTATTCTCAGTGTACTCCCTGGATGGTGGCATTAGCCTGCGAACTGAAGAGGCATGCGGATTCTCAGACCCCACCCCAAACAACTCTGGAAACGGGGCCCAGCAGTCTATGTTAACAAGCCCTCCCGGTGAGTTTGAAGCTTACTCAGTGTGAGAAGCAGTGCTCTCATCAATCACACATCATTATGTGTAGCTGTGAGAAATTTCAACTCCGCAGAGCTATTGGGTTGTCGAAAAAATCATGACACATTTTTGCAACGGATGGCACTATTTCATTTTTGGAAGTACTAGAGTCATTCACAGGTATATTATTAATTACTATATCATTTGAGAGCTGACAGTTCTAGCTTCATTCTAAAAACAAAATGAAGCAATTTGGTTGAGTTTGGGAGATTTTACAAGTTCAGATGGAAGATCAAACTGCATTTTCACCATATTTTACTGTTTTACTTCCATAAAGGAAAGCTTGATGTGCAATAAGGTTGAAAAGTTGTGTAAAGTTTACAGTGATAATGCTCTACAAAGCCAGTGTCAATGATGGTTCATGAAATTCCATGCTGTGATTTTGATCTCAACAACGCTCCTCAGACAGGGAGGCCACTGAGGTTGATGATGACAAAATAAAAGCATTGATTTTGCTAAAGCAAACCCACATTACACTACTCAAAAATTGCAGAAACACTGAACATTTGTCATTCAAACATTCACGACCACCTGAAGAAGCTGGGATATATAAGGAAGCTCAATATTTGTGTTCCTCATAAACTCAAAAGAAGTTCATTTGACTGCGCTTGTAAATACCTGTGATATGCTCATTAAACGTGAGGAAACAAACTTTTTTTGAAGCAATTGATAATTGGTGATGAGAAGTGGATTGTTTACAACAATGTGGTGCACAAATGGTCTTGGTCCCCACCTGATGATTCACCTTAAACAATACTGAAAGCAGATATTCATCTGAGGAAGGTTACATCTCAGTGTGGTGGGATTTTAAAGGTGTCATGTGTTTCCAGCTCCTACCAAGGAACCAAACAATCAGTTCAAATACATACTATTACCAATTGGACAATCTGAATGAATCCATCATCCAGAAATGTCCAGAGCTTGTCAATCGTAAAGGAGTTGTGTCCCATGATGACAATGCGAGATCACACACAAATTTGATCATCCATCAAACATTGTTGGAGCGTGGATGGGATGTGTTATCTCGCCCACCATACTCCCCTGACCTAGCACCATCAGACTTCTACTTGTTTCACTCTCTTCAAAATTCCTTGCATGGTATAATGTTCAGTTTGGATGAGGCTGTAAATCAGCACCTTGTTCAGACTTTTGCCAATAAAGACAGGTCCTTCTATGAACTAGTAATTATGAAATTCACTGAAAGGTAGCAAAAGATTATCAAATAAAATGGGCAATATATCATTGATTGATCTTTGTTTTTTATATAAATAAGTGACCTTTGCAAAACATAAGAAACAATGTCATGACTTTTCTGAAAACCCAATATTTCTCACTGTAGAAGTTGCTCAGGGAAACCAGCAGTTAGCGTAATGGCTATGTCGCTGGACTCCCATGTAATCGACTGCGGTTTGCGTCCTGGACCCAGTGGCTTAAAACTCACGCCGGGCGAGTGTGTGTGCATGCCCAAGATCCTGAGAGGAGAATGGAGGAGAAGGGACTGTGGCGTGACCATCCCACCTGGGGGGTGGTTTCTCGCTTTCTGTCTCTATGTCTCTCTCTGTCTGGCTGGCGAATGCACGC